AAGGGTTTTCATGCAACGACATGTACGCGCCTGAAGCTGGCTCGTGTTCGGAAATTCCATTCCAGGCATTCCTACCGAATAGACAACATAAAAGTGGATCGTTTCCTCGTAGACAGCTCTCTGATATTGTGAAATATTTACGTATGACCGTCTATATTCCAATGATGAAATGCCATGAGCATGTTTTCAACACACATAGTATTCTCCTTAGAACGTTGTGATGCATGTCCAGTATATTTACTTATTTTGAGAAATTTAATTAATGTAATTAATTAATGATTAATTAATTTAATTGTTTACGTGTTGGTGGTAACAAGTTATCCGGTAATGTAAGCTGTGCCTAGAAACCTCGATGGGCGGATAAAAAGTTAGGTCGATAGATGTCTATATTAATATACTGCTACAAAAACCAACTTTGTTTGTTTGTCTGTCTGCTATGCATTCCGCCATTTATTGGTTTAGAACCCCCAAAATTTCAGTTTCATAAGTTGATCACCCTCATGGTGGTCTAAGCATAATATATTATATATCAGAGGTTAATAATGACAAAACCACATAATAAATACAATTTGTCATAATTAACCAGTGATATATATATATATCTAGAGATAGATAGATAGATAGATAGATAGATAGATAGATAGATAGATAGGTAGATCGATAAATAGATAGACGACGTAGTATTTGATGTTGTTTACACTACAGTACTACATGTATATCTGTGCCAAGTGTACTTGGAATCGTGCAATCTCGTGTTTTACTTGCACGTACGTCTATTTGTAATGTTGAGTTTGTGATCTTGTGATTAGTACGTATTACACCGTGATTAGTATAAGTCCACGAGTATGCGCAGTAGAATGCGCGTTCATAATATGAATTATAATAAAATATCTACGTTAACTAAAATTTAGATCGTTCTTTTTTATATGATGAATTATTTGAAAGCTGCGTCACAGTATTCCTTTTCAAATCGTCGTAGTTTTCAGTAAAAGGTAATATGCTAGGACACTACTTTGCCGTGAACCACTGGTAGCCGGCCAAGCCACTGGTGCGGGGATAGAACACGGGACGACGCTACCCACTTACTAACGCGCTACCCACAGGGCTAACAGGCGCCCCCAATAGAGAAAAACGACATGTTCCTTATATACTAGAGAAATGGCAAATTATACAATATTTCAGCAAAGAATTTACCGAGATTCGAACCATCAACCTTCATAGCTTGCAGCATAGCTATTTAACCACTACGCCATCCACGCATTCTTAATATAGATGTCTGCAATACGTTTACCTTTACACGAGTTAGAAAGCCACTCTTCGTTTCTTCCTCTTCCTCACTTCCTTACTCCCTCTCGCAGATGGTATCGCCCATGACCAGTCAAGCATGGAAAAACTTTTGCAGGAAATTGGCTGCTTTTCGGCTCCAACTTTTTCACTCCCCGATGCACAAAATGTGAATTTACGCCTATAATACACGCGCACGCGCGCGCGCGACCACGCCCGCGTGTGCGCACCCATTAGTGGGTGTGTATGTGTGTTTTTGTGACTGTAAAAACGCGTATTATAGCCGTAAATCCACTTTTTATGCTTTGGTGGAGTGAAAAAGTTCCACCTGAAATACTGCCATTTTCCTCGTGAAGATTTTTCACGCTTGACTGGTCGTGGGCGATACTATCCGCGAGAGGGGGAGGCAAATATTGAGGGGAATGGAGTGAGAGGGGAGAAGGAAGGGAAGAGGAGAGACAAGGAGAGAGGGACGGAGGGAAGGAGTAATGCAGAGGGAGATGCGCACACGTACGCGTACGCACAGGCACGGACGCACACATGCACAGGCACGCGCGTACGTTTATTGTTGGCACATACACAGACATTAAATTGCGGCGCGACAATTTTCCCCTACCTCTTTCTTTTCTCTCTATATATAGTTACTTCTCTCGCCTTCTCGCTCACGCTCTCCCTCTCTGTGACTCTCACCCTCTCACACACATACACTCTCTCTCGCATTCTGTCTCTGTTACTCGGGCGCGATATATATATATATTTTCTCTCTCTCTCTCGCTCTCGCTCTCTCTCTCTCTCTCTCTCTCTCCATCTCTCCTTCTCTCTCTCTCTCTCTCTCTCTCTCTCTCTCTCTCTCTCTCTCCTCTCTCCTCTCTCTCTCTCTCTCTCGTTCTTCCTTACATTGCGGACCGCTCTCTCATATATTTTCCTAATCCCTCGTCTCCCTCTTACTCACTTCCTTTACTCTTCCTGCCTTCCCTCTACTTTCACTCTCTTTTTCTCCCCTTTCTATGACTTCCTCTCTCCTCCTACTGCTATGGGCTCTCCTCTGTCCTCAATCCTCTTCGTCTGACTTCCTCTCTCCTCCTACTCTATGGCTTCCTCTCTTCTCATCCTCTTCTCTGGCTTCCTCTCCCCTCCTGTCTGGCTTCCCCTCTCCTCTTCTCTGGCTTCCTCTCTCCTCCTCTCTTGCTTACTCTGTCCTCCTCTTCTCTGGCTTCCTCTCTCCTCCTCTCTTGCTTACTCTGTCCTCTTCCTCTCTGGCTTCCTCTCTCCTCCTCTGGCATCATCTGTCCTCCTCCCTCACTTCCTCTCTCTCCTTCTTCTCTGCCTTCCTCTAGCCTCCTCCTCCTCTCTGGCTTCCTCTCACCTCCTCCTCTCTCTCATATTTCCTCTTTCTACCACTCCCTCTCCTCTCACACATCCTGCTTCCACCAACTCTAACTGACACGGTAAAATATTTTGCTGGGTAAGTCCAAAGATTTAGTAACAATGTTTTAATTTTCAGCTAGTATAGTATCTAGCAAATATATAACACATCTCAAACCAGCCACTGACACTATCATTTCATTCTAATATGATAGCATTTAAGAAAGAGACATTGTTTGACAAATGAGACTTTTCTACTTCATGTGGCAGTAAAATATTATAACTTTCTATGTAAAATAACAACATGAACTCAAAGAACTTTGTGCACAGGCTGATGGAAATGAAGTCACGCGTCACCTTAAGCTTAGCTTAATCTTTCAGAATGCGTATAGTAATAGCAGGGGCGAATAAAAACAGTCTGTCATTATTCATTCCTGGTAATAGGTGCTTAGTTTTCTCACTATGGTTGCTCATAAGTGACCAGCTTAACCTCATAATGTGTAGAGAACACAACTGCAGTGTATTAAGTAATGTAAGTAAGTAAGTAAACCTACAAGGCACCAGTATTAAAACGCATTTTAAAACCATGGTGCGCACTGGCAAATTATAAATAATAAGACAGATGAAGGCAAAATAATAAAATGAAACTTGCTGCACAGTGAATGGCACGCAATAAGTAATTAGTAACTGTATATATTGCGAATGACAGTAGCAAGAGCATGTAAAGAAGGCCTTCTTTATATGCTCTTGATAGTAGTAATAGCAGTTTACATGAAAGTAACACAGCATAATGAAGCTTAGTAATAACTGTGTAAAAAAGCCATCCAGCTTGTTTATAGTA